CAAGGCTTCTCTGTGGTGGCTGATTATAAATCCACGGTTCTGCTGGGTATCGCCCAAAGTCCGTGCCTCCCGGCCTGCCATCGCTACGACCGGATAATTCCTCTTATGGTCAATCGCTGTCAACTATGGCGTTATCGAGCCCGAACGCTCCGTGGTCGCGCGGTCATACTTCGGACCATTGTGCTACCCTTGTAATGGTATACTGCGGCTGTGACCTCCGTACAAGCACTAGTCGCCTCTCAGGTCACTAGGTTGTGCAAAAGTTTTCTTTTTCGACGGGTTATCTCGACGGAATCAATTATTCGAGGACCGATGGCGAAAGAATGGCTGTACTGGCCTACCTCACTTAGTGGTCTAGGAGCTCCTAACATCGCTACGTTGTTACCACCCTTCAGCTCTGCTCTCTCCGGGACGCGATCCTCTCTGCTGAACATCCTTGTATGGTTTCCAAGTGGTGTTCTCCTGGTCTTACTCTTTTTCCCTCGGTTTTGAAGCAAGCAGGGTCCGGGTTCGACATATTATACTGTCCTGTTCCCCGCTCAATCGCCCCTCCACCATTGTGGGCGCCACTCGGCCGGTTCTGGTATACAACCTTACAGACCTGGCACCGGCTCTTGTCTTTCCAGCATCATATTACTCCTCTTGCAGCTTACGTCATAAAGACACCCCTCTGGCGTAACTTTCGCTACCGTGTGGGTTCTCTGGGACGCCTTTTTGAAGACTCATCCAAGCTGGCGTTATATTTTCGAGACCAGGGGTTTATCCTTCCACGTGACTTTCTACTTCGACACGGACGGCCTCCTGATCTACGTCTTTGTGTGTCACTCCTTGACGGTGTGAATTTATTCCACCAGAGACTCCGCTCCCTAGCGGCATCCCACTTCTTGGCGAAGCTCGAGTCATGGGGGCTGGTTTCGATGGGCTCACATCACGGTCCGGCTCTGCCGGGTCTGCTCAGTAGTGCTAACCACGGATGGTCCTTCCAAGGAGTGGCGTTTACGAAGCTATCGAACCGTCGACTCTATCGCATGCTCCATGACCTCCCTGCTATCGTCCGTTGGCCTCATACTGCCCATGGGCTGGAGATACCTCCTAATTGATCTGCTCTTTAAAAGCTTGAATTATCACTGGATCGTTATGTTCTCCCTGTTCTAGGTGATCTTGAGTTTCGCCTCTAACATAACGCGTTGGGGGCACGACGCAAGGACACCTACCACACTATGGATATTCATTGTGCCCATGGTTGTAGCAGCGTGGAAACCACAAAACATATCTTCTGGGACTGCCGTATTGCCACGGACGTGTGGTCTATTCTTCTCGCACCTTTCCTCCCACTGGTCAAGGGGCGGCTAGGATGGTCTCAGCTTCTCTACCTTCACGACCTACATTTTACGGACGAGGGTCTACGCCTTTATTCTCATCACAACCTGTTATTGGCTCTCAACGTGTTTCAGTGTGTGGAGTTCTACCCACTTTGGTTACATCGCAACTCCCGTATCTATGAAGCTACGCCACCGTGCTCTGCGGTGCCGCTCGGCAAATCGCTGGCTTATGCCAAATTGACCTTCCACCGATTGGGCTCGATTTCATTGTCGAACCCACGACTGGTGACTTTATATCGCGTTCTCCAACGGGGCGAATGAGGGCTGTTTCATTTCATCGCACCATGGACGATATTCCTCCTCTACTTTATAACCTTTCGATACTATCAGCATATGGTCACATTTCGTGGACTCGAATTTGTGATGTTTTATCCTGGCGGCTTGTTTGCCGGTTGGTATAGCTGGATTATCCCGTCCACACTACTACTCACCTCCTACATATTGAATTATCATATATACTGGAATCAAATAAAAAAAAATATAAAAACGAAAAAAGTTTACAAGAAACAGGTATTGTTCTTTCAATGAGTGATGGTATCGCGCGTTGTTATTGCCTGTTTTAGTTATACTTATTATTTTTATATTTATATTGTGATATCATGTTTTTGAATCTAAATTTTTAAATTCATGAAAATGCATATATTTTTTTGCAAATATGAAACTGTAGTAGCCGGTGCAATTACATTGTTATAAGCAAATAAAAATTTAAATACTTCATTTTATGATCCTTCTGGAGGAGGCGATCCCGTATAACAATAAGTATTCCTTATAAACAAAGAAAAAAATTGAAAAAAAGATAGATATTTTTTAATGCTTTTAATTGAGGATAAACAATTTAAATAATCAATTTCTTGGCTGGTATACGCGGTTCTGTGTTGTCCGCGTATGCAAGTTGATTTTTCTAGCGCCATCACGGTCCCCTGTCTCCGACCACCCCACGTCTTCAACGGCTATGGGTATGGCGGAAATACGTCGGAGCGGTCAGCATGTTGCTTTACGCCTCGACGATTTTCGCCGACATTTTAGTATAGGGTTTCCCTATATGAGGCTTTTGACCCTGGTGCGAGCCCTCAGCTCTAATTTTTTCGTTTGGATGGCGCAATTGCGGCGTCTACGACCTTTACCTACGTATACTACGGCTATGGGTATGGCGGCCTTTTGTCGAGGTGGTCTTCTTCTCGCTCCTTGCTCCGCTGTTGGCTACCGCCTACTGGCACCGAGTGTGAATTTGTTTTTCCGATTATCGATGTTAGCCTACATTCCTGTGGTATGCTTGGGGCGGAGCCGTCTGCCTCCATCCACCCCGCTACATCTGCTTTTCCTCTTCGCCACCGTTGTCTCCCGCTTCTTGCTTGATGCCCAGCAGCATCAGAGAGGCGCGGGTTTCGTCCTTATGGGCGGGGCACTGGCATTGGAACCACAACGGTTCCCCGGTGCACCCGGTATAGTTCGCGGTTAGCTCTTCGCCGGCCTTGATGGCCCTCTTCGACACGAGAGAGACGATGACCCTGCGACGGCTCCGCAATTCCGCTTACTCCGTGTTCGGATTACACGCGTGTGCTATGAACCGCGCCTTCGATTCTCCCTGCTCCGCACTTACATACACACGCCGTCCTCCTTCGTCCCTCTGCTTCAGCTGGATCGTGTACGCTGCCTTTGGTTGTGGGTTCAACACATACGTCCCCCAATACTGGCACACCACCGTCCCAGCGGCGATTGTGCGGGACGCGAACACGCCTATCCCTTGGCGCGTGACCCTCAAGTGCAGCCGGTACGTCCGAAACCGGTTCTGGCATCGGCTCGCCCCCGGGGAGCAATTTTTTTCTTCACATAGTTGGTACTCTGCAGCGTTCGCACAGTCCGGGATGTCGCAGAAGTCCTTACAGCCACACTTTGTCTGCCTTGCCCCTTCAATGTCAAAGGAAATCTGCTCCGGGTTCAACATCTTGTTCACCTATTGCACGTCCGTGGGCCATGGCACCTGCTGTCCCTGTGGCGCGTTCTCCATCAACCATTGCCGCGTCCCCGGCTCGGCCTCCTCTCCATCGTCGTCCTGGGTGAGGTCAATCTCCTCGCCTAGGTCTTCTTCGCCATCCCCAGCCGCGCAGTTCCATTCGATGCTGTCGTCTTCCTCTATTTCTCGTTCGTCTTCTTCATCCCCCACATGGCCGGCGTCTGCTAGTGCGGGGCGGATTCCGTTCACCTCCCCGATGATGCTGCAGCCACTCAGCTTCATCTTCTTCCGGTGGTGCTTCTTCTTCCTCGTCCGCCTTAACCCGAGGTAATCCCTCGCTCTCTTCGCCTTCTTGAGATGCTCCGATCGCTTCTGTAACCCGCTCGAGTTGGGGTACCCTTCCCGGTCCCTCTGCAGACGGCCGTAGTTTCGCCGCCATCTCCAGAGCAGGCACGACCGCGCATGCACGGCGGCGCCGAATTCTGCGTCGCTCGGGAAGTCTCCCCGCGCCGGCTTCGGCGGCTGTTTGTCAGCCGGCGGTGGCCACTTCTCAGGACAGTACTGCTCGTCCATCTCTTTCTTTTTTCTACTGGTTGGTGTTTTCGCCCTGCTGTGCTGCGGACTTTGGATAGCTGGTCGTCGTTTAACCGGCCGGGCCTCTCTCGTTCACTCATGGTAGCGTGTTCTCATTGGCTCCTTTCTACCCGTTTTTACTGCCCTTTCGGGATTTTTCAACTTTTTACCTAACCTAGCATAATGGAATTTTTTCACCAGACTTGCCCTCCAGTTCCCAATTTACCTCGTTGTGCACAAGTGTCCTACACACTGCACCCCGTTTATTCGTCGCTACCACCCCTCGCCGTACCGCCTTTCCGTCGGTCGTCACCTCGTCAGCTTTTCCGGTCCCGTCTTTCTGTGCGTCGTTGCGCCTATTCAGTTTCGTCTGACGATTCTGGCCTCGCTTCTACCTCGTCGTCACCTCGCCAACGTTTCTGCCTCTCCCGCCATGCCATCTGGACAGCCTTTGCGCCAACCGGCTCATTCGCCCTCCGCCATGGCTCTCTCTTCGTCCGATCGTCGCCCCGGCCGGTCCTCTCCCGTCCGTCCGGATCGTCGTGCTGGTCGTAACGCACTCTCTGCCATGCCAGCTGCTCGTCGCGTCGGACGCTACGTCCCCGCGAACTCGCTCTTTCAGGCGCTGGAAGAGGCTGCCATCAATCAGGCGCCCGCCTCTGAGTTTCGTGCCATCGCGATGCGTGACGTCCAGCGTGAGCGTGTCACCGTCTCGGAAAAGTTGAAGCTTTTTTATTCCCTGTGGGGCATTGGCGGCGTCTACGACCTTTACCTACGTATACTACGGCTATGGGTATGGCGGAAATACGTCGGAGCGGTCAGCATGTTGCTTTACGCCTCGACGATTTTCGCCGACATTTTAGTATCGGGTTTCCCTATATGAGGCTTTTGACCCTGGTGCGAGCCCTCAGCTCTAATTTTTTCGTTTGGATGGCGCGATTGCGGCGTCTAAGACCTTTACCTACGTATACTACGGCTATGGGTATGGCGGCCTTTTGTCGAGGTGGTCTGCTTCTCGCTCCTTGCTCCGCTGTTGGCTATCGCCTACTGGCACCGAGTGTGAATTTGTTTTTCCGATTATCGATGTTAGCCTACATTCCTGTGGTATGCTTGGGGCGGAGCCGTCTGCCTCCATCCACCCCGCTACATCTGCTTTTCCTCTTCGCCAGCGTTGTCTCCCGCTTCTTGCTTGATGCCAGCAGCATCAGAGCGGCGCGGTTTTCGTCCTTATGGGCGGGGCACTGGCATTGGAACCACAACGGTTCCCCGGTGCACCCGGTATAGTCCGCGGTTAGCTCTTCGCCGGCCTTGATGGCCCTCTTCAACACGAGAGAGACGATGGCCCTGCGACGGCTCCACACTTCCGCGTACTCCGTGTTCGGATTACACGCGTGTGCTATGAACCGCGCCTTCGATCCTCCCTGCTCCGCACTCACATACACACGCCGTCCTCCTGCGTCCCTCTGCTTCAGCTGGATCGTGTACGCTGCCTTTGGTTGTGGGTTCAACACATACGTCCCCCAATACTGGCACACCACCGTCCCAGCGGCGATTGTGCGGGACGCGAACACGCCTATCCCTTGGCGCGTGACCCTCAAGTGCAGCCGGCACGTCCGAAACCGGTTCTGTCATCGGCTCGCCCCCGGGGAGCAATAGTTTTCTTCACAGACTTGGTACTCTGCAGCGTTCGCACAGTCCGTGATGTCGCAGAAGTCCTTACAGACACACTTTGTCTGCCTTGCCCCTTCAATGTCAAAGGAAATCTGCTCCGGGTTCAACATCTTGTTCACCTGTTGCACGTCCGTGGGCCATGGCACCTGCCGTCCCTGTGGCGCGTTCTCCATCAACCATTGCCGCGTCCCCGGCTCGGCCTCCTCTCCATCGTCGTCCTGGGTGAGGTCAATCTCCTCGCCTAGGTCTTCTTCGCCATCCCCAGCCGCGCAGTTCCATTCGATGCTGTCGTCTTCCTCTATTTCTCGTTCGTCTTCTTCATCCCCCACATGGCCGGCGTCTGCTAGTGCGGGGCGGATTCCGTTCACCTCCCCGATGATGCTGCAGCCACTCAGCTTCATCTTCTTCCGGTGGTGCTTCTTCTTCCTCGTCCGCCTTAACCCGAGGTAATCCCTCGCTCTCTTCGCCTTCTTGAGATGCTCCGATCGCTTCTGTAACCCGCTCGAGTTGGGGTACCCTTCCCGGTCCCTCTGCAGACGGCCGTAGTTTCGCCGCCATCTCCAGAGCAGGCACGACCGCGCATGCACGGCGGCGCCTAATTCTGCGTCGCTCGGGAAGTCTCCCCGCGCCGGCTTCGGCGGCAGTTTGTCGGCCGGCGGTGGCCACTTCTCAGGACAGTACTGCTCGTCCATCTCTTTCTTTTTTCTACTGGTTGGTGTTTTCGCCCTGCTGTGCTGCGGACTTTGGATAGATGGTCGTCGTTTAACCGGCCGGGCCTCTCTCGTTCACTCATGGTAGCGTGTTCTCATTGGCTCCTTTCTACCCGTTTTTACTGCCCTTTCGGGATTTTTCAACTTTTTACCTAACCTAGCATAATGGAATTTTTTCACCAGACTTGCCCTCCAGTTCCCAATTTACCTCGTTGTGCACAAGTGTCCTACACACTGCACCCCGTTTATTCGTCGCTACCACCCCTCGCCGTACCGCCTTTCCGTCGGTCGTCACCTCGTCAGCTTTTCCGGTCCCGTCTTTCTGTGCGTCGTTGCGCCTATTCAGTTTCGTCTGACGATTCTGGCCTCGCTTCTACCTCGTCGTCACCTCGCCAACGTTTCTGCCTCTCCCGCCATGCCATCTGGACAGCCTTTGCGCCAACCGGCTCATTCGCCCTCCGCCATGGCTCTCTCTTCGTCCGATCGTCGCCCCGGCCGGTCCTCTCCCGTCCGTCCGGATCGTCGTGCTGGTCGTAACGCACTCTCTGCCATGCCAGCTGCTCGTCGCGTCGGACGCTACGTCCCCGCAAACTCGCTCTTTCAGGCGCTGGAAGAGGCTGCCATCAATCAGGCGCCCACCTCTGAGTTTCGTGCCATCGCGATGCGTGACGTCCAGCGTGCGCGTGTCACCGTCTCGGAAAAGTTGAAGCTTTTTTATTCCCTGTGGGGCATTGGCGGCGTCTACGACCTTTACCTACGTATACTACGGCTATGGGTATGGCGGAAATACGTCGGAGCGGTCAGCATGTTGCTTTACGCCTCGACGATTTTCGCCGACATTTTAGTATCGGGTTTCCCTATATGAGGCTTTTGACCCTGGTGCGAGCCCTCAGCTCTAATTTTTTCGTTTGGATGGCGCGATTGCGGCGTCTACGACCTTTACCTACGTATACTACGGCTATGGGTATGGCGGCCTTTTGTCGAGGTGGTCTGCTTCTCGCTCCTTGCTCCGCTGTTGGCTACCGCCTACTGGCACCGAGTGTGAATTTGTTTTTCCGATTATCGATGTTAGCCTACATTCCTGTGGTATGCTTGGGGCGGAGCCGTCTGCCTCCATCCACCCCGCTACATCTGCTTTTCCTCTTCGCCACCGTTGTCTCCCGCTTCTTGCTTGATGCCCAGCAGCATCAGAGAGGTGCGGTTTTCGTCCTTATGGGCGGGGCACTGGCATTGGAACCACAACGGTTCCCCGGTGCACCCGGTATAGTTCGCGGTTAGCTCTTCGCCGGCCTTGATGGCCCTCTTCGACACGAGAGAGACGATGACCCTGCGACGGCTCCACACTTCCGCTTACTCCGTGTTCGGATTACACGCGTGTGCTATGAACCGCGCCTTCCATCCTCCCTGCTCCGCACTCACATACACACGCCGTCCTCCTGCGTCCCTCTGCTTCAGCTGGATCGTGTACGCTGCCTTTGGTTGTGGGTTCAACACATACGTCCCCCAATACTGGCACACCACCGTCCCAGCGGCGATTGTGCGGGACGCGAACACGCCTATCCCTTGGCGCGTGACCCTCAAGTGCAGCCGGCACGTCCGAAACCGGTTCTGGCATCGGCTCGCCCCCGGGGAGCAATTTTCTTCTTCACAGACTTGGTACTCTGCAGCGTTCGCACAGTCCGTGATGTCGCAGAAGTCCTTACAGCCACACTTTGTCTGCCTTGCCCCTTCAATGTCAAAGGAAATCTGCTCCGGGTTCAACATCTTGTTCACCTGTTGCACGTCCGTGGGCCATGGCACCTGCTGTCCCTGTGGCGCGTTCTCCATCAACCATTGCCGCGTCCCCGGCTCGGCCTCCTCTCCATCGTCGCCCTGGGTGAGGTCAATCTCCTCGCCTAGGTCTTCTTCGCCATCCCCAGCCGCGCAGTTCCATTCGATGCTGTCGTCTTCCTCTATTTCTCGTTCGTCTTCTTCATCCCCCACATGGCCGGCGTCTGCTAGTGCGGGGCGGATTCCGTTCACCTCCCCGATGATGCTGCAGCCACTCAGCTTCATCTTCTTCCGGTGGTGATTCTTCTTCCTCGTCCGCCTTAACCCGAGGTAATCCCTCGCTCTCTTCGCCTTCTTGAGATGCTCCGATCGCTTCTGTAACCCGCTCGAGTTGGGGTACCCTTCCCGGTCCCTCTGCAGACGGCCGTAGTTTCGCCGCCATCTCCAGAGCAGGCACGACCGCGCATGCACGGCGGCGCCTAATTCTGCGTCGCTCGGGAAGTCTCCCCGCGCCGGCTTCGGCGGCAGTTTGTCGGCCGGCGGTAGCCACTTCTCAGGACAGTACTGCTCGTCCATCTCTTTCTTTTTTCTACTGGTTGGTGTTTTCGCCCTGCTGTGCTGCGGACTTTGGATAGCTGGTCGTCGTTTAACCGGCCGGGCCTCTCTCGTTCACTCATGGTAGCTTGTTCTCATTGGCTCCTTTCTACCCGTTTTTACTGCCCTTTCGGGATTTTTCAACTTTTTACCTAACCTAGCATAATGGAATTTTTTCACCAGACTTGCCCTCCAGTTCCCAATTTACCTCGTTGTGCACAAGTGTCCTACACACTGCACCCCGTTTATTCGTCGCTACCACCCCTCGCCGTACCGCCTTTCCGTCGGTCGTCACCTCGTCAGCTTTTCCGGTCCCGTCTTTCTGTGCGTCGTTGCGCCTATTCAGTTTCGTCTGACGATTCTGGCCTCGCTTCTACCTCGTCGTCACCTCGCCAACGTTTCTGCCTCTCCCGCCATGCCATCTGGACAGCCTTTGCGCCAACCGGCTCATTCGCCCTCCGCCATGGCTCTCTCTTCGTCCGATCGTCGCCCCGGCCGGTCCTCTCCCGTCCGTCCGGATCGTCGTGCTGGTCGTAACGCACTCTCTGCCATGCCAGCTGCTCGTCGCGTCGGACGCTACGTCCCCGCGAACTCGCTCTTTCAGGCGCTGGAAGAGGCTGCCATCAATCAGGCGCCCACCTCTGAGTTTCGTGCCATCGCGATGCGTGACGTCCAGCGTGCGCGTGTCACCGTCTCGGAAAAGTTGAAGCTTTTTTATTCCCTGTGGGGCATTGGCGGCGTCTACGACCTTTACCTACGTATACTACGGCTATGGGTATGGCGGAAATACGTCGGAGCGGTCAGCATGTTGCTTTACGCCTCGACGATTTTCGCCGACATTTTAGTATCGGGTTTCCCTATATGAGGCTTTTGACCCTGGTGCGAGCCCTCAGCTCTAATTTTTTCGTTTGGATGGCGCGATTGCGGCGTCTACGACCTTTACCTACGTATACTACGGCTATGGGTATGGCGGCCTTTTGTCGAGGTGGTCTGCTTCTCGCTCCTTGCTCCGCTGTTGGCTACCGCCTACTGGCACCGAGTGTGAATTTGTTTTTCCGATTATCGATGTTAGCCTACATTCCTGTGGTATGCTTGGGGCGGAGCCGTCTGCCTCCATCCACCCCGCTACATCTGCTTTTCCTCTTCGCCACCGTTGTCTCCCGCTTCTTGCTTGATGCCCAGCAGCATCAGAGAGGCGCGGGTTTCGTCCTTATGGGCGGGGCACTGGCATTGGAACCACAACGGTTCCCCGGTGCACCCGGTATAGTTCGCGGTTAGCTCTTCGCCGGCCTTGATGGCCCTCTTCGACACGAGAGAGACGATGACCCTGCGACGGCTCCGCACTTCCGCGTACTCCGTGTTCGGATTACACGCGTGTGCTATGAACAGCGCCTTCCATCCTCCCTGCTCCGCACTCACATACACACGCAGTCCTCCTGCGTCCCTCTGCTTCAGCTGGATCGTGTACGCTGCCTTTGGTTGTGGGTTCAACACATACGTCCCCCAATACTGGCACACCACCGTCCCAGCGGCGATTGTGCGGGACGCGAACACGCCTATCCCTTGGCGCGTGACCCCCAAGTGCAGCCGGCACGTCCGAAACCGGTTCTGGCATCGGCTCGCCCCCGGGGAGCAATTTTCTTCTTCACATACTTGGTACTCTGCAGCGTTCGCACAGTCCGTGATGTCGCAGAAGTCCTTACAGACACACTTTGTCTGCCTTGCCCCTTCAATGTCAAAGGAAATCTGCTCCGGGTTCAACATCTTGTTCACCTGTTGCACGTCCGTGGGCCATGGCACCTGCCGTCCCTGTGGCGCGTTCTCCATCAACCATTGCCGCGTCCCCGGCTCGGCCTCCTCTCCATCGTCGTCCTGGGTGAGGTCAATCTCCTCGCCTAGGTCTTCTTCGCCATCCCCAGCCGCGCAGTTCCATTCGATGCTGTCGTCTTCCTCTATTTCTCGTTCGTCTTCTTCATCCCCCACATGGCCGGCGTCTGCTAGTGCGGGGCGGATTCCGTTCACCTCCCCGATGATGCTGCAGCCACTCAGCTTCATCTTCTTCCGGTGGTGCTTCTTCTTCCTCGTCCGCCTTAACCCGAGGTAATCCCTCGCTCTCTTCGCTTTCTTGAGATGCTCTGATCGCTTCTGTAACCCGCTCGAGTTGGGGTACCCTTCCCGGTCCCTCTTCAGACGGCCGTAGTTTCGCCGCCATCTACAGAGCAGGCACGACCGCGCATGCACGGCGGCGCCGAATTCTGCGTCGCTCGGGAAGTCTCCCCGCGCCGGCTTCGGCGGCAGTTTGTCGGCCGGTGGTGGCCACTTCTCAGGACAGTACTGCTCGTCCATCTCTTTCTTTTTTCTACTGGTTGGTGTTTTCGCCCTGCTGTGCTGCGGACTTTGGATAGATGGTCGTCGTTTAACCGGCCGGGCCTCTCTCGTTCACTCATGGTAGCGTGTTCTCATTGGCTCCTTTCTACCCGTTTTTACTGCCCTTTCGGGATTTTTCAACTTTTTACCTAACCTAGCATAATGGAATTTTTCACCAGACTTGCCCTCCAGTTCCCAATTTATCTCGTTGTGCACAAGTGTCCTACACACTGCACCCCGTTTATTCGTCGCTACCACCCCTCGCCGTACCGCCTTTCCGTCGGTCGTCACCTCGTCAGCTTTTCCGGTCCCGTCTTTCTGTGCGTCGTTGCGCCTATTCAGTTTCGTCTGACGATTCTGGCCTCGCTTCTACCTCGTCGTCACCTCGCCAACGTTTCTGCCTCTCCCGCCATGCCATCTGGACAGCCTTTGCGCCAACCGGCTCATTCGCCCTCCGCCATGGCTCTCTCTTCGTCCGATCGTCGCCCCGGCCGGTCCTCTCCCGTCCGTCCGGATCGTCGTGCTGGTCGTAACGCACTCTCTGCCATGCCAGCTGCTCGTCGCGTCGGACGCTACGTCCCCGCGAACTCGCTCTTTCAGGCGCTGGAAGAGGCTGCCATCAATCAGGCGCCCACCTCTGAGTTTCGTGCCACCGCGATGCGTGACGTCCAGCGTGCGCGTGTCACCGTCTCGGAAAAGTTGAAGCTTTTTTATTCCCTGTGGGGCGGTGGCGGCGTCCTCGCAGCTCGACGAGATCATGCTCTCCATCCACATGGAGGACCAAACCGCTCTGTGGAAGGACTAACTTCCTACCCTGTACGACTTCGTCCGCATTCCGTCGAATGGTATTCGTTTCACCTGCACTTCCCGGGATGTTGCCGTCAAGCTGGGCGGCTCGACGGTGCGTATGTTTGGCGCGTCGCACGTCATTAAGAAGTTCAGCCTCTACGAGCGGCTGTACACGCTCAACCTGACACGCATCCCCTCTGACCTCGACGACGACGCCATTTTCGACGACTTCGCCGGCCTGGGCCTGTACGTGCTCATTACGGCGACTCACCAGGTCGACGGGATGATCTCGCGCGACCGCACCATTTGGTGCACTACCCAGGAGTGCCCGGCTGCGTTGCTGCTCCCGGATGGTACCGCTGTCCGCGAACTTTTTTCTCCGGGTTCGACGACCCGGTCTTTGTCCAGAACAAGCAACGCTTTCTTAATACAAAGCTGCATTCGCTTGTCGCGCGTGACCTGGAGCGCCGCGCCTCGGCGGCTGCCCGCCATGATGCGTCCGTTGCGCAACGGGACGCCGATCGGGTGGCTCGTGCTCCTGTCGGTGCTGACTCGCCGTCGAGCGCTTCGGAGGGCTTGTCGACGTCAGCCGTGCCTCCGGACGATGTCCGGCTTGATTTGACTAAGCCCAAGCCGTCTTCTTCCTTGCTCGAGTGGACGGCCGTCACGCGGCCTATTTTCTCCACTCATGCCGATTCCCGTCCGCCACCTCGGGCGATCGGCTGTGACGCCATTTTGATGGACGATGGCAGGATAATTTTCGGTATCCTTGCCCCTCCTACCGAGTTGAAGTTGGCTTTTGCCGACGATTGTGTGGACGTCGACATCAGTGTCCTTCTCGACGGTTCCTCCACTGTTCCTTCAGTGGTTCCGTCTGTCGCGGTGGGCCGGCTCATCGAGGCGAACTCCTTGCTGACTGTCAGCCGGACTAAGATGAAGCTCTCTCGCTTTCATCATCTAGCGGTGGCTGCTCGAGCTGACTTTCTCTACTCCGGTGACCCTGAATCCAGACTCGCGTCCATCACGGCTCAACCTCTGGTCATCGCTCCCGCGCTCCACGAAATTCATGACGCTTCCTCGAGGGTTTTATTGGAGCACGCTGTTCTGCGGGCTTACAGCGCCTTGACGGCTTCGTCCCACGCCGCCTCTCGTCAGTTTGCTCCTCGGATCAAAGTTGACTTTCCCGATACCAGTCCAAGCGCGGGGTCATTCTTTGTCGGGTGCACCCCACTCTGCCCGGCAGGGAGCTCGCCTAAGCCTATGCGGCGGTCGACTTCTTTTTCCGTACGCACGCCGCCCGCATCTACAACGACCCGTTCAAGATTGCTGCGGTCACTAATATCCCGGCTCCTGACTGCCTACCGTTTCTGAGTTTCTCCTGTGGTCGGAAACAGTCCTTCACGCTCTCTGTCACTCCGACATCCCGGACGCGTTTGGTGACGGCCTCCCTCATCACGTCGAATCATCGATCGCTCTCGTCTGCGTTTCGTCCGACGACGACATGGACTCCGACGCGGATTCCGATTTCTCGGCTGTCCACGCTCTCTGATTTACCTTGGTCGCTGACCGGCATGTTGATCAACATCAACGGACTAAACGCGCCATCGAAACATCTTTTCGCTCAACTTTTATCGGCTTACACAGTTGTCGCTTTCCAAGAAACCAAGTTTCGCTCCAAAGACACGGTCAAGCGGGCTGACTATTTCCTTCAATGCGTGGATCGCGAGCAATTTCCTTCTGGTCTCACCACGATGCATCGGACTACACTGGTCGTCGCGGCAGGGATGGTGTTGATTTGGTGTTCCGCGGTGATCACCCGTTCGACTTTTTACTCGACGTTACCTCGGACTACTTTACTGCCGCGGTCTCATACGCCAATCGGTATCTCGTCGTGGAGGCGACGCTCGGCTCGTTGCGCCTCTTCTCTCACGTCGTGTACGCTCCGGCTTCGGGCTCGGATCGTGGGGATTTCTTGGCCTTCCTTCCCCATTCGTTTCCTGATGGCTGTCACCACTTCGCGCTTGGTGACTTCAACGTTCCTCTTGACCCTTCGCTCGATGAAGTGGTGTCGACCCGCTCGTCGGCCGGCCGTCCTGAATTGCTCGACTGTCAGCTTCGTCTCGGTGTTATTTATGCATGGCGGGCTTCTCATCCAACGATGCGCGAATTCACCGATCCTGGCCTACGTAACCGCCTAGATTATGGATTTGCTTCGCCCGTCGTGCTGGAAGATTTTTTGGTCTCCATTTCGCACGTGTCCGACAAGATTTGGCATAATGCTGACCATCTGTCGGTCTCTTTCACGCTTCAATATCCGTTGCACCCCCAGCGCTCCCGCCTCCCGCGGAAGTGTCCGGCGTGGCTTCTTAAGCATCCTGTGGTTTCTTCCGTTTTGGGATTTACCCTGGACGACCTGCGGGCCAGGCTGCGCTGTGATATTAATTTGAATATGGACGCCATAATCGATGAACATAAGCGCTCCGACGCTATCTTCCTTAGCCAAATGTTCCATGAGCTCAAGAATGCCGACGCGGAGGAAGAACGTCTTCTCACGCGGGCAGTCCATGATGCTACCCTAGTTCATACTGTCGCCGGGTCGGCTTCGTCTGCTACCTCGCTCCGTCAGGCTCGCGATTATTTATGCCCAGAAGTCTTAAATTTCGGCGCGTTGTGAGGCTGCGAATTTCGACCGCGACGTTAGTGACGGTGAGCATGGCTCGTCCTATTTTTTTCGTCCACCTACTACAGTGGACTTCCGGGACTCTATTCCTAGCGCCCTTCGTCCGGACGGGACATCGACCTCTGACCTTGTCGAAATGGCGGACCTTCACCGGGAATATTGGGGATCGCTGTATCGCAGCCCCTCTCGCGATCTGGTCTCTGCACTTCCGCCGCCGTGCTTCATGCCTTTGGAACTTTTGCGCCTTCTTGAGCACACTACTACTCGGCTCCCCGTCGCTGCCCGTCTTCTGCTCGACGGGCCGGATTTTTTTGGGCGATCAAGACGTCTCCTAAAGGCCGGTCCAGCGGCCTTGACGGCTTGCCCATCGAGTACAACCAGATTTCGCCTCATAAATGGGCTTAGGTTTTCGAACTCGTCTACGCCAACCAGCTTCATCTTGGACGCATGACCAAGTTCCATCGCCGCGCCTCCATCTCGCTGCTGTACAAGAAAGTTGACCGCTGAGAACCCAGTAATTACCGCCCTATCACCCTGCTCAACCATGATGCCAGACTGGGACCGAAAATTTTGGCGCATCGGCTTCGCGGGGTTCTTCCTCTTCTTTTACACGAAGATCAAACCGGCTTTGTCGCCGAGCGATCCATCCGCCATTCGCTCCTTCGGTTCCAAGATCTTCAAGACGTCTGTTCTTTGTCGGGCATGACTCGTGCCGGTGCGGTCCTTCTCGATTTTGTTAAAGCATTCGACAGTGTTTTTAGCCTGCCCTCAGTCTGGTTCTCCGGCACATGGGGTTCGGTGATTCTTTATAGCACGCTGTCAAGACCTTCTTCTCTGGGACTCTGGTTACGGTCCTGGTCAATGGTACAGCGAGCCTCTTTTTGAACTCGGGTGTAGGGTGCGTCAGGGTGACCCACTCTCGCCTGCTCTCTCTGTTCTCTTCATTGAACCGATGTTAAATTACCTCTGCTCCACTACTGGCGGTCTGGTAATTCACGTGCCGGCGGATCCGGACCCCCACCATCTTCTGGCTTTTGCCGATGATTGCACGGGCGTACTTACCGACCTCTCTGATGCTCCCCGCTTCGTTCGGACCGTCCGGCACTACGCCGGTGCGGCGGGCCTTTCGCTTAATGCCTCCAAGACCAAGATTCTTCCACATACTGCGTGCGACCCGGGTCTCCGGCGGCACCTCCAGGATCTCGGCTTTTCCGTGGTGGGGAATGACGAGACGAATATATTGCTTGGCGTCTCACAAATCCCGATTCTTCCTGTCAGCCACCGCTACGATCGAATTATACCCCTCATGGTCACCCGTTGTCAACTGTGGCGTTACCGGGCCCGCACTCTTAGGGGCAGTGCGGCTATCCTCCGTACCATTGTTCTCCCGCTGTTATGGTATACTTCTTCTGTCTCGCTAATGCCGGCGAGAGTGGCGTCTCAAGTCTTTTCCCTTTGCAAGTCATTTCTGTTCAAGCGGAATATTTCGGCGTCATCTCCAGTGCGAGGG